TACCCACCGTTAAAGGGGAGCAGGCGAATGATGACAGGACCAGGAGATAATAGACTATTTGGATTAAGGATTTATCATTCTGGGAGCTAGGAACGTGGCTACCAACCGCAGTCCCAAGTTCCCAGAGAGAGGAGACCACAGATGGAAGTTCAACTTCCTCTCTGCTGCTGCCACCTTGGCCTTTTCCTATAGGGATGCTTCAGGCAGGCTCTCCTAAGACCTTTCAAATCTCCAGACAGAAGTGGCTGTGGGTCTTCTGGATTCTTAGGCATTCACTAGTTACAGGAAATGACTAAAGTTTTTAAGGTTTAACTTATAAAGTTAAACATCCAAGTTCCCAGAGAGAGGAGACCACAGATGGAAGTTCAACTTCCTCTCTGCTGCTGCCACCATGGCCTTTTCCTATAGGGATGCTTCAGGCAGGCTCTCCTAAGACCTTTCAAATCTCCAGACAGAAGTGGCTGTGGGTCTTCTGAATTCTTAGGCATTCACTAGTTACAGGAAATGACTAAAGTTTTTAAGGTTTAACTTATAAAGTTAAACATGCCATGTGACCCATTTCTAAGTATTTTTATCCACTTCCACTCTTAGGTATTTACCCAAGAGATGAAAATGTAGTCCATACAAAGAACTGTATGCAAATATTTATAGCAGCTTTGTTCATAACAACCAAAATTGGAAACAACTCATGTTTCCAAACAACTAGTGAGTGGATAAACAAATTATGGCATTTCCATAACATTGAATACTGTTCAGTAATAAAAGGATTAACCACTGGTACATGTAACAACATGGATGGATTTCAAAAGTATCTTACTATGTTGGAGTGGTTGCCAGAGGCTGGAGATGGAGGGAGAAGATTCAGTATGAAGGGGCACAAGGGAATTTTGGGGGCTGATGGAAATTACCTGTATTTTGATTGTGGTGGCGGTTATATGACTGTATACATTTGTCAAAAATCACAGAACTATATTTTTAAAAGGGTGAGTATACTTCAATAAACTTGACTTTAAAAACACACCCCCACACAGGAGAGGGTTCTCAACCTTCCTCCTGATTGAAAAAATGCAAATTAAAACGAGATAACTTTTTTTTTTAAACCTATCTGATTGGCTGAGATTAGAGTGTTTGATTATACATTACCGTCAAGGAAGTTAGGAGTCACTCTCCAACTTAAACCTCTGAGGGGCAGTTGAGCAGTATCTTTCAAAATTAAAAATGCACATTCTTTGTAACTCAGAAATTTCACTTTTAGGAATTATTTCTACAAGTAAGACATGTGTAAGGAAAAAGTAGTTTATATCATTTTTTATCATAACAAAAACTAGGGAACAACCTTAATTTTCATTAATAGGGTACATTAAATTAACTAGGGTATGTATATATAGTAAAGTACTGTAAAGTAGATTTTTTTTGTGTGCTGACATGGAGCAGTTTCATTGTTAAACGAAAATAGCAGTGCACAGAATGACATGTATAGCGTGCTCCCATTTGTGTTTTTAAAAGGGTGTATGTATTCATATGTGTGCTTGTATATGCATAGACTATTAGAGATAGGATATACACGTAAAGAAAATGGTATTAGCAGTTGCCTCTACCATAGGAAAGGCTTACCTTTTAATGTATATCTATTTGAATTTAAAGTTTTTTATTATGTGCATGTATTACCTTCTCAGTTAAAGGGAAAAAAAACTTTAATTTGCATACATTAAGTGTGTTATTAGGAAATTTAGGAGGTCAGAGGTAACTCTCCTAATCATTTCCTCCAGAATGTCCTTTAGTGTCTTTGTCAACAACATAAATAGTGGACTAGATGGTTCTTGGAACTAATGCAGGTGACATTTCTAAGATCATCTCCCTACTACCTCTGTTTCTAGTCTGTGTTTCATAATTTTCTGAATTTGTGTGGTAGTAGGTTGAGAAGGAAATATAGTCATTCCACTTTATGCACATGATGCCTTTTTGTTCATTGGACTGCTCCTCTAGTTTAGGTCCATTTTCCTAAGCACTGAAGTGGTTAAGTGACATGTTGGGGAGAAATGCACTAAGTTCTAAAGCAAATTATAAATGATGTCTCTGCAACATATTCACATGTCACCAGGAAGCTTCTGTAAGTGAAGGGAGCATCAGTAGGGAGGGGTGGAAATTGGCAGCACTTTCTGAAAATGGGGTAGCTTGGGAGGCTGTATTGAATTTAGTTTGTATATTAAATAAATTAAAATGGATGTGCTTAAGTTATAAGCCTTGCTTCATCAGTGCTATAAAAAGCCCTTTAGCTGGGCTGTAATTTGACTCTCCTCTCTGTAATGTTACGCAATATTCCTATGGTTACAGAGCCCGAATAAGTGGAAGCTAATCATTAGTTTGCTAAATGTGGTTCATGGAATAGTTCACAACTCCTCTCTGTAATGTTACGCAATATTCCTATGGTTACAGAGCCCGAATAAGTGGAAGCTAATTATTAGTTTGCTAAATGTGGTTCATGGAATAGTTCACAATTCCCAGACCTGCCAACTGCTGCTTGTTTAATTTCATGTTCACTCTTCTTGGGTAGAAGTTG